CTGCACGGGAAGAGAGCAGAGAGAGGAGTCCCGGAACTTGGCACGGCAAATAGCCATTTCTAATGGCTACTAAACTGTAGCTCGGAATAGGTGTAGGGGAATTCCTAGGCCCCCAAACGACAACTTTAGCGATAGAAAGGTCCCGTTTATCCTACCCTTCATCTCAAACGATCTAAGTACAGCTATAAAACGCTGCCTAAGAAGGGCTTGTCTAGAAAATTCGGTAAACGTAGTTGAAAAGCCACCGAGTAATCTTAGGCGCCAGCCAGTTCGTAACCGCCTATATGACCGTCTATGTGCAACGCAAAATTGCATAATTTGCCGCAATGGTAGAGACGGTGATTGTATGAGCTCGGGTATAGTTTATCTGATCTCCTGTAAGGCGTGCGGAGGCGAATACATTGGCTAAACGGACAGACCACTGTGCGTCCACATAAAAGAACACCTAGCCGGCAAACAGACCAAATACTCCGCTAGGCACGCATAGGACCCAGAGACATAACGGGGAGGACTTTGAAGTATGTGTCACGATCCTTGCACGCGAATCAAGAACACAAGGGCGCAAAAACTCTCGAGGCATTCTGGATTAATTCCAGAAATCGGAAAATGAACTGCAGAGAAGAACGCCTCATTATCACGCATGATATATGGCAGTATATATCCAAAAAGCCTCAAGGAGTTCGCACAAATAAGGGGGTTGGCAATGGGACAGCGATTGGCACCAAGCCTTCCCATTGTGTTTATGTCTAAGATAAAAGCCCCTGTTCTCGATCTTCGGCCACTACTCTACTGCAGATTTGTAGATGATTGTTTTGTCGCCCTCTCTACGCAGGAAGAGATGGACAAACGCTTTGAATTATTGAACGAGCAGTTCGAATACATAAAGTTCACCCGGGAGAAACCGAGAAAAAACTGGCTTCCGTTTTTGGACGTTCAAATAAACCTATCAAGTAGCGGTTACCTGATAAATTGGCATCGAAAGCCAAGTAACAAGAGCATTCTTGTTCATTTCCTTTCTTCCCACTCTTCACACACAAAAAGGGCGATTGTGAGAAACATGTTTCGAACAGCTATCTCTGTGTGCACTACCAGGGAACTAAAGGAAGAATCGCGCGACTTGGCTCGGCAAGTAGCCATCTCCAATGGCTACGAAATAGTAACTCCACGAGATAAATTTAGAAGGAGAGCGACGCGCCCACGCAAAACACTTGGCCAAAAGAAAATCCCGTTTATGTTGCCTTTTATAAGCGATGAAGTAAGCATAGCTTTAAAGCGATGCTTAAGAAGGGCAAGTCCAGAGGAATCGGTAGCGATAGTTGAAATACCACCGGCCACTCTACGTCGCCAATTAGTTCGCAACCGCCTGTATGACCGTCTGTGTGAAACAACAAATTGCGTAATTTGCCCTTACGGCAGAGACGGTGATTGTATGAGCTCAGGTATGATATACCTAATCTCTTGTAATAATTGCGGAGATGAATATATTGGTGAAACGGACAGACCTTTGTGTATCCGTATAAAAGAACACCTAGATGGCAAACGAAAACTAAGACGAAGCACCCCACTAGGCACGCATAGGATACAAAAGCATAGCGGAGACGATTTTGAAGTAAAAGTCAATATCCTTGCACAAAAGTCTAAAACACTAGCGCGGAAACTTCTTGAGGCTTTTTGGATAAATGCCAAAAGCCCTACAATGAATAGGATGAATGCCCGGAGGTCATAAGCGACCCGACCCCGTATGTTCGCATCGATTTTTAATGTGGGATGGTGCAGTCGTCAACCACATGCGACTATAATCAGCCGTTTTAAACTTCCTCATTGGAAGTCACGAAAAAGCGGTGGATTTTTTCGAGAAGTTGTTGATCATGTAATTACCATAGATGTCCGGAAGAAATACAAATTGTTATCACCGGACATTATCATTATATATCCACCATCAGCATCGTGTATAAAAGGGCATCACTGAGTGAGGATGCCTCATTCGAGAAGATGGATCACTGAGGAAGACCTGGCTCGACACGAAGGCGAAGCTGCAACGTCGAGACGAACAACAATCATGGACCATCGACTCGGATCATCGGCGCTGAGGAAGACGAAAACGTCGAAACGTTAGCCGAAAACAAGTATATTTATCAACCTCGTGCAAGCTTAACAAGAAAGAATGCATATTAATTACCGGAGAGTTTTTCGTCTTTTTTTAAGTGTTATTGAAGCGTTTGGCCTAGTAGATTGTATATCAGTATACCCTTCCAGGCTCTGAAGAAGGCGATACTGCCGAAACGTCAGCTAGCGGTGTATTGTATTATGTTTTTTTATGGAAGTAAATGTATGCTGTTTAAAAACCTCTTGGTGGTGATGTGGTGGGTGAAGAGTTAGTTTTGTAGGATTTTGAGACGGTGCACGTTTGATAAGAAAATTATTGAATATTGTTACAGAGATTTAATGAAAGTCAGCTTTTAAGAAATCGAATGTATATTTATTTTGTGCTGGCGACTTCCTTGAATACACATATATCTTTTTCGATCTCTCTTTTGACTTCCGAGAAAAGATAGTCAACTGTAGCTAGATCCTGTCGTCTGTTGGAACCCCCATGGGGGGTGTTGAGGAAAGGAGAGATGATCTGTGTTTTCGCAGTGTTGTTATGAAAGTAGGCAGCTAGAGTTTTTATGTGGAACGGATCCAATTTTGGATCGAAGAGAGTCGAAAAAGTGACACTCGTTTGTTTAGATGCTGTTAAACAATTTTTTTATTTTGCGCAAAGATTAGAACCAAGTGTATCTAAGTTTTCAACAGATCCCTGTGAGCTAACTATGATTTGAACCCGTGTGTCAGCTTGTTTGAAACTTTTTCAAACTATTTCAGCTCACTATGTACCATTTGGTATAGAATGTGCGATAATTTTCATTGCGATAAAAGTAGGGTGATTGAAAATAATGCCTCAACAATATCTCGTGACAGCACCTTTTTCCGCGTTGGTATGGATTTTTCTGGTCTCCTCTAGAACGATGACGTCAATTTGGTATGACCTTTGGTCTAAAGAAGATTGTGGAGATCGCCGTTTGCAAAAGGAATACTGATCCTGGTGTTCTACGTTTTACAGCAAAAACCATTTTTTATGGTGTACCATAGGCTAGTTGTTTTGATCCGATCCTAGTCATATTCTATGCAACACGAGGTTTGATCGTCTCTCAACAGTAGTCTCATCTAGTGCTGCTACGTTGTAAACGGCAATTCATTGTGTTCGGAGTCTTAAAGCTGGCTCATTGAAAACCGAACTATTTGCTTTTGTGTCTTGTCATCACGCGTGACCTAGCGCCATACCTCAGGCTGATCCAATGATCTGACATGGACCCAGTTATCGACCATGTATTACTCTGTGCGGCGGCTATCCACCAACTAACTTAAATACTTACAACAAATAAACGGTAGGTGTTTGAATGAAGCTGTTTCTTATGCGAATACAAATCGATTTATCAAGTTTTATCTGCTAGGGTTATGAAAGTGTTTGGCTGAGTAGATCGCATCTCAATTTGACCTTTCCAGGCTCTGAAGAAGGCGAAACCGCCGAAACGTCAGCAATTGTGTTCTAATAAATTCTATATTAACAACCTCGTGTCTGCTTATTAATGAAAAACATTGAATTATTTGCTTTTCTTTCTTAGAATACTAAATTAGACCTATTGGAAGTCCTCTCATCCTAACCGTAAGCAGTCGCCCGCCCTCTTTACGACAAGGTTGCAGTTAATGCCGTCGTAATTCGCGTTAATTCGGCATCATTCTACACTTAGTTTGACCTTCAGATGAAAATACAGATGCAGAGAAGTTTTTGTAGCCACCTTTAACTGGTAAATGGCTAAAAGCTATCAAAAAAAGCTAAGCTAGAAGGGGGATAAAAGCTAGAAAGTTAGCGATCAATGAAGAAAAAAAAAGCTGAAAACATATGCTCTGCTTTCATCCGCCTTACATATACAGTGATAAATAAAAGAGGAGTTCATAGGAGGTTTTATCAAGACTACCGTGATTTCATTAGTGTCAACTGTACATTTAGGGAGAACAGCGAGGAATCTCCGGCATTCGTGCAGGAGCCAGCCGGATTTATCTCTTCATTGAGAATCACAAGGAGGGTGGAATTTAAAAACAACTCTCGTACGCAGAACATGCCATCAGACACTGTCGGTAATAACCGAAAGAAGAAAATAGTGGGTAGGATTCTAAGTGAGCTAAACTCGGACTCCAAGCGCCCAGAGGTTGTTACCTTTAACATTTTACCTTCCACGGAGTTATGGAGGTAAACAACGGATTTCAGGTGACTGAACGAAAATCTTTGCCACCTCTTATGTCTCCATCTCCGACGAGCCCAATTCACAGGATGTCGAAGTTGTTCACATCGCTGTTTGCCAAGGAGCGTAAAGTCGACTTGCGAAGAAAGTGGTCGGCCACATATAATAAAATGATCGAGCTTTCAAAAGTTCTCGAGGAAAACGAAGAGTTACCGGGAGCACGAGTGTTTAGCACACGCGTCTATGATCTGGTCATGGACAATGCCAAGAATACATCGGCAAATCATGTTCAGGTCTGGAACAACATTATATCAGCCGTAGAGTGATTTGTAAAAGCAGTCAAGAGCTGTTGTTTGGGCATCTTTTCATTCTTAGATTTAATAAGTTAACAGTAATGTTGCACAGAGAGTGGTTAATACATTTATTAAACAATTGGGGGCAAGCATGGAAAGGATTCCACTAACATTAAGTGTAATGGGTGAAATAGTGGTCAACCTTCTCAACAATAAGGACTTTCTGCCGCCCATTTTGAAGAAAGCGAGATCGTTCAAGTTGAGTCATTACGAGGTGATAAGTGCGGCCTTATGGAATTTCGTCTATTGATAGGCATCCTAATAGAAATTGAGATAAACGAGAAATACCTTCAAGACAAATCTTATTCTAAGTTTTTCTCAGGAAATCAATTTGCAATTGTGTCTGCACCGAGATTTTGAGACCAATGTTGTCCATAGGAGCAAACGGATAGCGTGACGTGGTTCACAAGCTGATTACTAATACAGAACTCATATTAATCCTCGAATCAAACGCTTTAAATGTTTGAAAACAACTTTTTTGTGCTTAGCAAGAAAGCCCAGATTTTGACTTATTATTTACTGCCTACTCTTTTTAACGGCAGAGTATACATTGTGAAATATAGCTTCAATGATGCTGAGATATATTTGCAAAACTTCGGACCGTAGGTACATGCGGTGGGGAACGAACGCCCTATTGTCCTTTCTGGGGAGTAGCGCGTTCCCACTGACGGGTGATTGCTGATGGCAAAAGATCGATAGAATTAGCTGAGAGACAGGCGAAACGAAGGACGCGCGTGGTGTGGTGGTGAACGCGCTACTCCCCGGAAAGGACAATAGCGCGTTCGTTCCCCACCGCATACATCTGCGGTCCGGAGTGTTGCAAATATCTCAGCATCACTGAAGTGTGTGCACGAAAAGAGGAGAAGAGAGGGATCACTTGATGTGCCGTGGCAAATAAAAGCGTTAAGCATTTAATGTTTTCTTGATGAGCCAATATAAGGCTGTTACCAGCAAGTAAGTAGTATAGCAACAACCTCATGTTTCGTCATCAGGGGACAGCGGATTATTGATGAATGAAGAAGTTAACAGGTTGGTCCTGGGAATAAGAACCGTAATGCCTTGGTCAAATGTTGAAGTAATCTATCTGCTTGAGATACATGTACATCCAATTCTTTCCATGGCATCGTAGAGATGATTGAGTAGTAGCGTATAGATGAACAAAACACCTGACCACATAGAAAACCTCAGAAATAGAGAAAAGAGAAATAAAACTTCGACAACGTAGACATGACTAGCTGCAGATTAGGCTGGCCACAAAGGGGTTGCGATGAAGATTTTAAAGTTAAAACTAGTGTAGGAATCAAGAACATCAGCTTTCAGAACACTATGCTCGTTAGGTGGGCTTTAAAAAACCAAAAAATGAGCGCTATGAATCAATGTTGTGTAGTTGTCGAGACCTAACACCCTATTTCAGGTTAATTTTTCGGAAAGATGCGGATCAATTTCCTCATCCCAGCAAAATTTCATGCGGTTTTCTCGCTTCCATAGAAGTAGACGACAAAAACTGACGTTGACGAAGCTTTTTGACACGATATTGATATTTAAGATTCGAGTTTTCTCTAACATATTCTGAAAACACTTCACGCACTAATGAGAATGGTCACGTGAGCTTCTGTAAGCTTTGAATAACAGGAAGCTCGCCGACATGTTAAAGGAGAAAGGATAAAGCTCTCTGCGTTGATCAATGCCTGAGGGATGCGCCATGCATTCGACTTTATGAAGTAACGTTGGAGGTGATTGAAGCATAGCTGACCTTTACAATGACCCTCGATGCCCCATCGAGGTATTGAGCCTACCATGCCTGGGAAAATGAGGCTTCTCACTCTTCTGGGATCTGCGAACTGGTAGCAAAGTTGCCTGGAAAAATTTTTCATCGATCCACAGAGATGGCGACTGCCTCTACATTGAAGACACGCTAACTATACTAGAGCTCTCCCACATCTTTAGAAGAAATCAATTCGACCGCCATTCACCAACAGTTATGAAGCAGATAGGGTCGTCAATGGGCAAGTGAACCCGGGGTAAACTCCAAGAACTTCGTGAATGACTAGTGTGAGACAACAAGCCTAAGAAACGAAGTGTTGAGAGTCGCAAAATGAATGCTACGGAAAATATTGTACTTGAAAGCTGTGCAAGTGACAGTTCAGTGTTCTTTTATAAATCACTTTATTCCTCGACAGTATGAGACAAACATTAATAACATGGTATAGGTTCGCTACGTATCCGACAGCTTGCTAATTCTTGCTTCATTACAAAACCTGCCAATCTTTTTTCGTCTTTCTTTCTGTATTAGTGAAATTGCTGCTCGATTTTCTCACTTCCGATCTGGTCTGGATCATTTGTTTCGAAGTATGGCAAAAACAGATTAATCGACGACCGATTGGCTATAAATGTTTACGTTAATCAAAGCGCTTTGAATACGGCGGGAAAGAAGAAATTTGAAGAGTTTGGTCAAGTTCATGGTTCAGTTTGAAACATTTTGCACTTCGTCTTTGCCGAACATTGTACGGCTTGCGTAGGACCTACACACGAAGAATATGGATTAATTGTTTGACTTATAGAAATTGGAAATTGTAAAACCTCTTAGCGCTGTCTATATGACATGTCATAAGGACTGTTAGTTACATGGAACTTTCAGGTGGATATGCCACCTTTCCTTAAAAAAGTATTCGATCTCGTGAGCTCCTTCAAAGGAGGGTCGTCTTCTCGAATTCTCAGCCCAAGGATTGCTCCTGTGGTTCCGCAAATACGTCCTCGTAAAGGTGTCCTCTCTCCATCAGTATTTCCTTTCTACAACGACGAAAGAGAGGAACAAATACTACCTATTCCTAAGGTATGTGTGCTATCGCTTTGCAGGAACAACTTCTTTAGCACAGGATTATTCTAAGGATTTTTCACAATTTCTTTATTAAAGTACAACCCTAAATTATTATATGGCTGTTGGAATGCGTGTGATTTCATGATGAGAAGAAATTGATCAAAAAAGTTTGTGATTCTTATTCTTCAACTGAGTATTTACTAAGTATTCACAGTTCAAAAATGATGTCGCCAGTATTTCCTATTTAAAATTCACGCCTAGTTATAAATAATTCGTGGAAAATTTTGATTCAAATGCTCATATAGTTGGTATGTAACCTGGATACTTTGAAATCATTTCGCTCTTTCAGAAAGAACCTTGATGCCAAGCGGGACAATTTGATGTTGAGATGCTTGGCTGAACCGTCTTCATATTACTTTACCATACTTCGCTTTCAATTTCTGAGCTCTTCTATGTTTTATTTCGTAGAAACCGGTGTGTTTTAAAGACGGTGTTCTTTCTTCAGATCGGGTATAAGGGTGGGGAATTTCGGCAGAGACGGTAAGAGTGGTAACAGGAAGCGATGCGCTTAGTGATTGGATCGCGATGACGTACCCCAAGAGAGGGTCGCACGGATCGGTTAGTGGCTGACAGCTGGTCTGGCCTTTCAAAGTTTTTAAATGTATGTGAAAAAGGTGATTACGGTGAAGAAGTACCTCTGGCATAGCAGATGGAGAAAATGAACCAGAGACATCAACGGATGTGCTCCAAATTGCTGAACAGAGCAAGATCAATCCTACAAAACAGTATGTGGCGAAGGGCATTGCAACCAATGCTGGAACAGACATGCAGATTGAGCTACGAAACTCTGTCTCATCCACCGTAGTCGTCAAACCTCTCGCCTACCGACAGCTCTTCTTCAAGCATCTCAACAACTTCTTGTGCAAGAAATTGTTCAGAAATCAAGCTGACAGTAAAATTGACTTCAATCCGTAAATTCCTGAATTTTATGCAACCGCTATTAATAAATTTGTCTTTGTTTATCAAAAATATGTAGATTCTAGTTTATTTCGAATAATAAAACTTATTCAGAGCAAAGATCGTTCAACCTAATGAATGGCTTTTTATTGTAGATGCTGGAAGAAGTTGGCCTTTCCAAAAATGACAGAGAGGATGTGATCCAGGCGATCATGGCGGTCTCAGGTGGGCAGAAATCGGTGGAAAGAGTTTTGGCGGTGAGAACCCTTTTGAATGGTTTTTATGATTGGCGCCAGATTATGGACAATATAGTGTCGAAATCGTAGTAGGCTGACTGTAATGTAATCGAATTCGCCTTTCGAGATAACCAAATCTCCCAGAGTCGGAGAATAAGTCCCAGAGTTGTGTAGGGCACTAAAAAACTGACTTCATACATTGATAGCCTCTGCTAAGTCACTGTGAAGGTCATCTGTCTATTTAATCGCCTGTAAAATGCTACCAATAGATCTTTTCGCCATCAGCAATCACCCGTCAACGGGATTGATCGATAGAACTAGCTGAGATACATGCAAAGCGAAGGACCCGGATGGTGTAGTGGTGAAGTGCGCTGCTCCCCGGTAAGGACAACAGCGCGTGTTCGTTCCCCACTGCATACACCTGTGGTCCGGAGTTTTTCAAATATCTCAGCACTTCATACGAGCTACCAATAGAGTCTGACGCTTCGCTCATCCCTAAGGAATTTATAAGCACCTAACTTTATACGGTTGAAACTTTAAGTTTCTTCCCCCAACAATTCTGAATGAGTGAGAAAATAATCTAATACTGTAAATGATCTATCGGCGGTGGTACCAAAGGAGATTGATAGTGGATTTTACAGGTGTTGAGGAACTTAGACTCATTTGCCTTGGGAAAAAAGCTATTATCAGCAACCGAGAGGGTAAGTGCAGTCAATTTAAGCTTTGCTATTGCTTAACTTCTATGCTGTTTCTTTATACTGATAACAAAGCAAACTGATCCTAGTACGGATGGGACTTACCTCCTTCTTTGAGTTTTCCAAGCGTTCAGTAGGCCTTCAGCATATAGGTTGCATTGCAAGGAGTAGAGTGGTAATTAGCAATAAAGAAGTTCGTCGAAATTTTTGATGAAAAATGTTGAGCTTCGTCTGACAGTTTGTTAATCCTAATAGCAGTCGTTTTATTCTTCTATGATCTCCCAACATCTTAGTTAAGAGGCGTCTTTGTCGAATTGAAATGTACACAATTCTTCGGCGGAATCAACTGAACCAGGGAAATCGAGTTTCACTACGGAAGCTCAGTACCCATATCGCAGCCAAGAAGAATAGCCACCTTTGATTAACGCTCTAGATTTTTTAAGCACCTCCTTTAGTACTCTAGTCAAAGCACTTTCCCAACCAGCAAACTATGGTTCAAATGAAAAATCTGGTGGTTCACACATTTCTTTTTGACCATGCCATGAACGAAAGTGAGATGTTTCGTGAGACCTCGAAACTGCTGTCTAGTTTTACCACTTGCGATCAGATCCTCTTAAGTTGTTGATGTTGCTACGTTGGCCTTATGTGGCATAAACGGTGAAGTTGGTCTTGATCAAGCGTCATCTATGTTTGTTTGAAGTGTTTTTGACTACTCAGTGTGCTTATTCAAATGCTACTGAGTTTTACTGAGGTGGCTCACCAATAATTTTTCACTGCAGATTGGCCTAGCAGTATTACAGAGATTGTGGTGGAACAAGAAGTAATTCTTGACAAAACCATTTTTGAATAGCCAGTTCTGGTCGATGTTCTCGCATTCGGATGCGACCTTTCCTAACTTTAATATTTCAACAACGTTGATGAGCCAAACGCATTGTTTTCTTACCCAGCATTAATGGAATATAACTGTTCACCTTGTTTAAAATAATCATTTGCCCTTGAATCTTTATGCTTTCCTTTATTATGGTGTTGTAATTTCCGAGCGTTTTTCTTACCTTCTTAAAAGTGTTTCCTATTAGATTAACTTTCTTCATTTTTATAGAAAAGCTTTTTACACTCTCCTAAATCTATGATTTAAAGATTGGAGAGCGCTTCGAGAAGCTACGAAATTCCTTGTCAAATGTTCAAAAGAAGGAAATGGATAAAAGAGGCTTCACCTTCTTGGAACCGACACAGATGAAAAAACTTTACAAAATGCGAGGTTATCACACTACATTATATTAAAAATACTTTGTTTTTCTTTCTAGAAGACATCAGTTTTTTCGTTGATTTATCGAATAATTTGGGTACCCACCATACCCACCAGAGTGCCTCAACTCGTTCTTGTAATCCACCAGAGTTGCCAATAGATCTCGAAAGTGCGTGAAACATGAGGTGCACGCTCTTTACTTCCAGTAGAACGAGGTTATTCACATCTCTACTTCAGGGCGTATAACCTACCAATCTTACATATTTTTCAATATTTAACTAAGGAAACGACCACCTACAGCATCTCGTTTGCATTTCCCAACTTCTGAAACTTTATGTAGCGCTGCTATATTTCTCTGTTCGAATGCCTGTTTTATCAACCTTCTTCAGAGCGTTTTAAACCGAATAATAGAAATGTCGAATATTTTCACTTCTGGTTGGTTTTGCCCTACAGACGGTCATTTTATAAAACATAGTAGTTGAGCATGGAGAAATATTCCTTATCCCTTGAAGGTCGTGCGGGAATATTTGAAGCAAATGACAGCTGGCTGCATGGCCAACTCTCCTGTCCTACACTAAAAATCCGCGGTGCTAATGTCTTAAGGAGATTTGGAATCAAATACTTTCTTTGCTTATATAATTCGAGTTTCCATATTATGAAGATTGCAGCACAAGTTTCCTTCGGTTTGTTGTTTCCCAGCGTCAACCGAGAAAGCTTGACGATTTCGTCTTTGAATAATTTAAACAACAACTATGACTGTATCAACAGGCAGAGCCTGTATCGTAGTTGTTATCTAACATATTCAATTCTTTAAAGTACATAAAAATTCTTCGTAAGCTGCACAAAAATTTCACAACCAAGGTATCACCATTCTACAACGATATTAAGATTGACGTCAAAAGACGAGTCAGGCAAAGCGATACCGTCTCGTCAAAGCTATTTACCTCCACCCTCCAGAACCTTGTGCGAACATTGGAATGGGATAATATGGGAGTGAAAATCGATGGTCGGCAGTTACACCATCTTCGCTTTGCTGATAACATCGTCCTTATAACACCAAACATTAGCCAAGCGGAACGTATGCTTGACGGTTTTGATAAAGCGTGTAGAAAGATTGGTCATCGACTAAATCTCACAAAAACGATGTTCATGAAGAACGGATTGATTTTGCATGCCCCATTCACGCTCAAAGGAATGAATATCTCCGAATGCTCCAGTTATATCTATCTAGGTCGGAAAATCAATGTGATGAACGACTTATCTCCAGAGTTGAGCAGAAGGAAGAGAGCGACCTGAGGAGCGTTCAAAGACATCGAGGATGTATTGTAAAGAAAACAAAGAACACCAGACTCCGGGTCACGTTTTCGATTCAACGGTACTTCCTGCTCTAGAGTATGCGTCAGAAACCTGGTCCCTGCGTAAGCAAGATTGAAAGGTCACTCAGCGCAATTGAACGCGCAGTCGAAAGGTCGATGCTAGGAGTACCCCGTTCGAAACAGCGCCCGCTCGAGTCACTCGACGATCAACAGGACCACAGGTGATACAGGTGATTCAGTTCTTTATGAAATGCCATAGCCTGGGCTTTTTCTTCTTATTTCTAACAACAAATTTCTCAGTTCACAAGATCGACTTTCTATTAACCTCGGCATTGGATTATAAATGCGTCGTGCTCCTTCTCAGCAATCGCTAGTTTGTCAAACAGCGTACGTTTACTTCCATACAATAACATACATACAACACAACCGTAGCAGACGTTTCGGCAGAATCGCCTTCTTCAAAGGCTGGAAGGGCACAGTGATATGCAATTCATTACGTCAAACGCCTTAGTAACACATAGAGAAAGATAAGAATCTAAATGGTAATCACACGGTCAACAGCTCCTCGAAACACCCACCGTTTTTATCTGTTTTCCACCAAAGAAAAACAGCCACGTAGAGTCGCACATGGTTGATTACTGCACCACCGCACATCAAAAATCAGTTCTGAGATACGGGGATAGATCACCCGTTATCTCAGGGCATTCTTTCCTGCTATTAATTCTCGGATTTTTGAAATTTATCCAAAAAGCCTCAAGAAATTTGCGTGTTGCTGTTTTAGTTTACAGTGCGAGGCTAGTGACTTTTATATCAAAATCGTCTTCGCTATGCTTTTGTATCCTATGCGTACCTAGTGGTGTGTCTTGTTTTGATTTTCGTTTGCCATCTAGGTGTTCTTTTATGCGGATACATAAAGGCTTACCCGTTTCACCAATACATTCTTCTCCGCAAGTACCACAAGAAATCAGGTATATCGTACCTGAACTCATGCAGTCACTCTCTCCGCTGTAAGGGTAAATTACGCAATTTGGTGTATCACATTGGTCTTTTATGTATCCACGTAGAAGAACACCTGGACTGCAAACAAAATTCAAAACAAGGCACGCCACTAGGAACGCCTAGGATACAAAAACATAGCGGAAAAGATTTTGATATAAAAGTCGCTATCATCGCACGGGAGACTAAAACACCAACGCGCAAATTTTTCGAGGCTTTTTGGATAAATGCCAAAAATCTGAGAATGAATAGCAGGAAAGAATGCCCAGAGATAACGCGTGATCTATCCTCGTATCTCAGAACTGATTTTTAATGTGGAGTGGTGCAGTAGTCAACCGTATGCGACTCTAAGTGACTGTTCTTCCTTGGTGAAAAACATAAAAAACGGTGGGTTTTTCGAAAAACCGGTGATCGTGCAATTATTGTTCCGATTTCCATCTTTCTGTTTGCGCTGTTGAAGCGTTTGACCTAGTAATTTACATATTAGTGTACCCTTCCAGGCTCTGAAGAAGGCGATACTGCCAAAACGCTATCTACCGCTGTGTTGTGTGTGTTATATTTGTGAAGAAGTAAACGCTAAATAACAACCTCGTGATTGCTGTAAGAAAGAAAACAATAAATTTCTCATTTAGCATTACTTCGACTGTAGGTGTTGACCGTTGATGATTAAGTAGACTTGGGTGCTCGTTTCGAAGCTAATGCTGAGGAATACATCAGCTACGCCAACTTTTATGTTATCTCTTTCCAACCAGAGGATATTTTACTGGATCCTTTTAGTTCACATCATATAGCTCGCAACTCAGGCTGTTTTCATTTTATCTGAAAGTTGTCGTGCTAGCGATTTTTTTCCGGTAGACCTACCTTTTTTGTTTTAAAGAAGGGTGCTGTACATGTACGCTGTATGTAGAAGGTGCATATAAGAAGTTTATGCGAACAAATTAACCAAGCTCTTTTGTTTGCTAGTCTTAACACCAAGTTACCCATCTGCATCCAGTCGCTCCTTTCCAGAAAGGTATAGGAATTATTCATTGGAAGTGATTCCAATATCTCCCATATATTTCCTATATACATCTGACAGGAGCACAAGGGGGGAACGTTAATTGGTTGAACAAATGCTAGGCAATACACACTTGGTTGCTGATTCGACCTTTTGAACTAACAAGGATTCCCAGTCCTTTAGTGTTGAACAATTGCTGCTAAACTTGTGTGAGACGATAAAAACACTGTCTCGATATATCCCTCCCGACGGTTTAGCTCCTCATCGTGGCTGGGATGTGCTGCTGGGTGTCCGACTGCGATGTACAGCGCGATGATTCGGCCTCTGGCAGGGTTTCCCAAGCTAAGAAGAATTCGGTGTTTTCATCAGGAAGTCCAGCTAAGAGTAAACCAATGCCAGGATCCTTCGTCGTCTTGGTGCTAAACTAGTTGCATGGTGGCAAATCTCCCTCTGATCCACAGCAGTGGCAACTGCCTGTGGTGGTGAAGACTTGGGGCAGACTTTGGTCTGGCTGACCTCAGGACGCCAAGTAACCACAATGGCAAACTTCGAAAAAATGGAGATCATGCTGGGGACCCGCGCAACCAATTAGGGCAGGCCATCCAAGTACGTGTCGATGAATTGATTTTGCAACTCATTTTATAGGCAAAATAATGTATACAACAACGTTCGTAGTGCTACCAGTGGGATTGAGTGTATACGCATCACTAAAGGGTTGATCGACTACAAACATCACGCACATACATGTGCATATAAATTGCACTTGTTACCCAGTAGGAAATTAATGGAATATCGCATTTAGTGGGGTCCGTGCCAAGCAGTGGTTAAGGGTACCTTGCATACACATGGATTCGGCCTTACGCCCCAGACCCACCAATCGTTCTATCCATGGTCGACAAATTACCCAGACCTGCCTGTAAGGATAGCAGCGGCAACTATTAGATGCATCAGTTGAGCACGCCAAGCCATTGCACAGGCCATACATGCGTTCGGTAACCTCTAACAATGCTCGATGAAGTTTCCTCAAGAATTGATCAACGCTGAGAGTCTTAACCTTTTATCCTTTATCACATTTAGAAAGCCTTTTTCGTATATAATGAGTATGTTTTTAGCCCACAGCTGATAACCAAATATCTGCTGCTATAAACCGGCTTTATTTGAGCTTACGAACTATTTTCAGAAAGTGAATAATTGCAGTTTCATTCACTGCCTAATATTTTTTCAAGACAAGGAATTATGTGAAACATAACCACAATGATGCTGAGATATTTGCAAAACTCGGAACTCCAGGCCAGCTTCGAGCCCGTGATTACCTCTACCTGGGACGTGTTGTCCACTGCACCACTCAGGCCCTTGTTTTGTCTTCGCCAAGGATCTGACCTTGTGACCTGAGGTTTGGAAATATCTCATCACCACTGCGATTGTGTTTGTTGTATTTTTTTTTGTATAATTGTGGTCGTTTTTACGGGGAATTTTCTACCACCTCTATCAAACTAAACGGGTCAAGTATAAAGTGTAATTGGTAAAAAAATTCACCTTTATTTGCTGCTTCCTATTGCCTTACTTGATGAACCACTCAGGTTATTCACATATACTGCTGTTGGTTGTGTAAGTATAGATATATAAATATTTCACAGTGTTTATCTGTTTTACTGGTCTGATATGCACGTCATTCAGGACTGAAAGTGCCTGAAGTTGGGGCAATGCTAGACGAGTACGATGCATTGCCTAAAGAACACCGTGAAGAAACTCTATGGGAAGCGATTGCAAAAATTGCTGGCAAAACGGTAGGTGTTTTCGAAAACTTTAAGAAACTTATTTATATGAATGTCACTTAACAAGATAAAAAATCAATACAAGGATTTCAGCATCGCCGCAAACGTCAAATCAGTGTACTGACACCATCCATCCTCAGTCCTGTACTATTCTCTCCTGTATTTGGCGCTAGCATACTCGGGCCCGTCGCACTTTCGCCAAGTGTCTTTTCTCCGGTAATTTTAGCTCCATCTGTTCTGTCACCGGTCATGCTTTCACCGAGTGTAGGTGTTCCAGTCATACTTTCCCCAAGCGTTCTCTCGCCATCTGTTTTAAATCCAGGATTCTTAAATGTCGCTGTCTTGTCACCTAGTGCGCTCGCACCATCTGTTCTTAGCCCAGAAGTAGCTAGTCTATCAATCTTAAGTCCTTTCGTACTCTCACCCTCCATCTTGTCCCCTGCAGCACTTGCAGGCTCTGTGCTTTCTCCTGGTGCCTTGTCACCGAACATTCTTGGTAGGGGTTTTCTCATAGCAACCGTACTGTCTCCATCGTTTTTATCGTAATCAAGATGTCAACCAATGCCTGTTAAGGAAATAGGGAAGCACACCTTTCAAGCAAAAAAAATGTTTCGTAATTATCGCTTTTTTTCGAAATTTCTTTTTAATAAATAGTATTTTCCTGTCTATATAGGAAGTGGGTAAGATTGCGAGATCCGCCATTCATCGCTGTGTGCCATGTGCTGCTTAAATTTGAGATGGATAGATGAGTAGAACAGCCATGATTAGGATTGTTGACTTGTTTTTCTAGCGCCCTCCTAAAATGTTCACTTTACATGGGAAATTGGGTTGCTGTGTATGCTTTTAAAAATGTAATAAATTTGCAACGTAAATGTTAATGTTGAAATGCTGGAACTTAGTTAAAATAAGGAGCGGATAGCACGGTGGTAACGATGCCGATCATCACAAGCATAGTGCTAGTTCGATCTCGCTCTGAGTTCACCGAGCTTCTCATACCTGCAGGGTCGGGAACTTGGTAACGGACTCGTCCGAGAAAAAATAACTTTTTGCAATCCAAGTGGGAATGCTCAGAACTCCACGGAATATTAACTCGACCAGCATCCAATGACATTCAAGATGAGGTGAAATTCCTTAAGCAGCTAAAGCCGGTCGTACGATTTGGAAGAACTTTGTGGGCGATGGATGCGAAGAAACGAATCGAATCTGAGAAGTGCTGGGATCCGCACAGTAGGCGTGAAAGACGGATCGTATAAAGAAAAATTTGCGTATGTAGCAAAATGTGTAAGAGTTTCGTGTAGGGAAGTGGGTAACAGTGTTTGCAAAAGACAGGTTGTTCTTGGTTCTCCTCCACGCCCTGTGCTCATCAGATTTTCCATGCCTTCGAATCTACAAATTCGTGCTAGGCTTACCCGGAAGAATAAAAATAGAGACTTTGTACGCTTATCGGTAAGATGCCATAAATCACTGTAGGGGCAAACAATGCACAAATTGTGAACAGGCTTTAACAAAGCATGCATTACCTCTATTTTGCTACAAATGGAGTCAGATGCATGAAATATCTTTCATGAATTTTAATCAAGGTTTAACGCTCCATAGCACTCATTTGTCTAGTGAACTTTGACGCATGAGTCACGCAAGAGAATTGATTGCGAAGCACCCACAAACACTTTATTAGAAAATCTTCAAAATCGGTTAAAAACGTCCACAATACTTTGAGGTTGACGCAAAAAAACTCCGAATTTCTGAAAAACCGCTAGAAGTGGAACATGACCCTATTGAGACCTATCAAGATTTCATATTAAGTTTAATTGCTTGTCCTCGCCCGATTGAGATAGACTTCCGGAAATATTGACATGAAGAAGTGTTTTGCTGGAAACGAGAAAGGTAATTAGGCTTTCCTAAATAAAAAATACCATAGATTTCCAGTCATTAACTTCAAATACGCTTTCTGAGATTTCATTAGACTGGTGAAGACCAATGAAAATAGAAATCACAAAGTCAATTTTACCCATTTTGCGATATGAAATTGCTTAACTGCTAGAATCCATAAATCTTCTCAAGGAATCGGCTTGAAACATCTAATGGTTGTCGCTAACTTTTCAAGTACTAGTCATTAACCTGACATATTACAAGAATGAGAAAGCCTTGAGTTTGATAGAACTCCGTATTTCAAGATTTTAAATTTCCACACTGGAGAGCGGCAAGCGCAGTGCTTAGAAATGCAGTGCAAACTACGCAAAGTCTTTCCTACAACTTACTCCCATGCTAGCGAACCCTGCTCTGGAGTCTGTAAATCGCTACCAGATTGCAAAAGGTAACGTTTTTGCGCTTGACCGGTTTTCTCCTTAGACGCTATGAAACCGTAGCAACGTCATCGAAGTGTTGTGGGTCCTAGGGAAAATGGCGACTCTTCTACAAGCACTTAAAAAAAACTTAAGAATCCACTAAGGTCTAGAATCCATCAGATTATAAAGAAAAGAAGAAAATGCGCATCCAAAAATGGAAGTATTCATTATGTTTGTAATGCCGACTACATTTCACCCATTTTTCATGATTCAATGAAGAAACCGATAGTTTTTGTTGTTACGCAAATGAAAAGCAGTGCAGATTTAATAATGGGCGATCTCTCTAATCTCCCTCATCGCATTCGCTACGCAGCCATGATGTTTTTTTCTTTTTTTCTGCTTTTCAGTCCGTAGAGATATCTAAGAGCTGTTTTTTCTTATTCTTTATTCGTCGCAAATTCACGAAGCGTTGTGAAAAGGTGCGCTTCAATTAACGGTTACAGTTCAGTAACCTTCATATGGTGACCGTGGTGATCGCCGGCATCTGGTGGTCATAGGACCTGTCCAACTCTTTCTTATGGTTCACATCAACATCACAAGACTTCTGAAGGAAATATTTAACACCGCTAATGGTAGTTCTCTAGTTCTCTCAGGAAGATTCATCACCAATATATCCAGTTGCTTCTACCACCTTGCTATTAGGTGTAATTACCTAATTCTTTCTAAAGAAAGTGTTTTTTATATTCTTTTTAATGAAATAACCCAAATTCTAAAAAGGGCATAAAAACATGGTCAGCTTCAAAGTTTGACAATATTTGAAAAGACTTGTACTTGTGAATAACATGAGGCTTTAGGAAAGAACACTTGAGGTCTTTATCACCACGGGCAGTTGCAGCCCTTGTGGATCAGAGGGAGATTTGTGAGCATGCGACTTTGATACTAGGACGGAGGTGGATCTGGCATTGGTGTACTCTTAGCTAGGCTTCCTGACGGAAACACTGGATTTCTTCTCGGCTTGGGAGACTCTGCCAGAAGATGAATCCTCCGCTGTACATCGTAGTCGGATACTCAGGAACACCTCCTAGCCACGATGAGAAGGTGAACCGTTGGGAGGTTACGGAAAGAAAGGCGCTAAAATTCGAAAAGGTCAGCCTGCCTCCAGCGATTCTTAGTCTCATCATATCTGCGATATGATAGTGGATTTCAAGCGGATTTCAAAGTGCTGTGCGAGGCAGAAGGTTCGACTCCATCGAATAAAGTCATATAGGCTAAAGACGAGTGCAACATTCCCATCTGTAAACAGAAATAGCAGATCTTGTCTTCTGTCTTGCCTATCGTATTACTAGTTGTTACGTTCCCATCAAGAATTATAAAAAAAACGACATGGGACCAAAAATGGGATTGCTTCTGTGTTCATACAGTGAGTGCAGTCCACTGCACCCTACTAACAAACAGAAAAAAGAACAGACACTTCGGTGGTGCTCACTTAAATTAGTAGATTTTTAACGGAATTGCAAATAACGGAGGCTGCAACAAAAACTTCTTGACGGATTTAGAAAAACGGCATTTTATACCTGCACTCTGTATGAACTTGTTCTGTTTTTGAATCCTTTTTCTGCTTGCTAACCTGATACAAGGTACTCGTGGAGCGCAATAGTCAAACCCGCCTTACAATGCAAACGAAATTAACTTCGCTCCGACCACACACCCCGCTGAGATCTGGCCGGCTATTGTTTAGGAGTACATGAATTGAGCAGGACTTCCCCAAAAAACTTTCGTTACTGATTTGGCAGATAGATCTGTCTCTAAAATCCATTATATAGACTAAATATACCATCAGTGACTTCTTCGATGCCATTACTGATTGAATGGAATGGATGGAGAATCCCAAAGAGACCGATCATCGCTGAGCGCTTGATCTTCTATTCGTTTACGTTATGATCTGCTTTCTTCATTTCTACCTTTTAAAGTTGAGTTCAATGTGCCTGCATAAATCTTTTATCCAACGGAGAGTAAACGGCTGAAGGCGTGCGCACATTAGTGCCGTTGAATCTTCAGATGCACTAGACATATTATATTTCTATAACTTTAATCTTCACGAAATTCTCACAGTACTGCGGAATTTCTGTAAAATAACTTGTATGCTCAAAGCTTTTGTTTCGTGAGGAAAAATCTTGTTCCAGTTACAGTTGTTGAATATTCTATTGAAATAAATATTTTATCAGCTTCCCTGTTTTCGGCCTATCATGTACAATCCAGTATAATTTATGCATGGAATTAAGCAGCTTATTTGAAAACAAGTAAGCGAAATTAAGCTGGTACTTCAGTGATTTTTGCGATTTTCGTAAACTGTAAACACCATGAAAATCTGGCCAGAGATGCCCTGCAATGCTCGCAGCATCGGTCGTTCGATGCCTAACCTCGGAGTTCTGAAGCTCGTAATCGATCTATCCGAGGGTAGCGCATTGCCACCCAATTTACTCGGGTGGATAAAAACACTAACCTGATAGATCATTCGCCATCAGCAAGCTGATAGAATTGGTATCTTGGAATCCTTGGATGGCTCCAGTAGATTGTTTCAGGTCTACATCGTTGCACTTATAGATAAGAATGAGCTTTTGTCAAATAGGTTTGGTTTCGATTTTCCAAATTGGAAAGCATTGTTGGATTATCCAGAGTGGAATCAAACCAGATGCTAGATCTATGTTGTTCGGTATCTAAAACCAGTTCTGAATTGGTGGTGCTGAACGCATACCTTTTACTGAACGAAATTGCCACAAGTGCTACAAAACTGTCTCACTGAGGATCAATAACGACGCAGATCACTGTTGCAATGAGAAAAAACCTCTCGGAAGTAGTGAAATACTTAGAGTTAGATTGAAATTGGTCCACGAAGAGTTGGAGAGTTTTACGAATGCCTGAACATTTTTTAATTAAACATAATGCTCACGCGGAGAGCTCTGTGGAGATCAACTACAGGATAGCGTAGTTTGCTTGAAGTTACAAATACATCTTTACAGACCCGATTTTTTCAAACTTTTCTTTCAAGAAGAAACTATTATTTTTCGGTGGAAGGGAAATCTGGGTTATGCAATGAGTTTTTCTACAGAAGTAAAAGATATTTATGAGAACAAGCCCTTAGGGCTATTTGTCAAAAACGGAGTGAAGTCTCACAAAAAACCCCATTCAAGTCTTTAAGAGGTGCTATTAATTATTTAGTCTATTAAGTTATATTTCGCAATATACCCCGCTGACGGGTGATTGCTGTGGCAAAGATCGATAGAACTAGCTGAGAGACAGGCGAAATGAAGGACCCTCATACTGTGGTGGTGGACGCGTTACTCCCCGGAAAGGACAATGCTGCGTTCGTTCCCCACCGCATACACCTGCGGTCCAGATTTTTGCAAATATCTCAGCAACGTTGTGGTTGTATTTCGCTTAGTAACCTGCCATGAAAATTATAGAAGGCAGAAAACAAAACAAAAAAAAAAACAAAAGCGCGTACGTTATGGAATCGTTCGACGTTACCGCTCTTTACACTAACGTGTCGAACGACTCCGCAATGCAAGCCATCCGTGAGCTTCTTGAGAAACACGAAGGAGCGATTAACATGTATGGCTTTTCGATTCAGCAGCTTATGGTCCTCCTGAAGGTCTGTTTAAACTGCTCGATCTTCAGATGGTCCGGGAAATATTACGCACAAATTAGAGGGTTGGCAATGGGACAGCGACTGGCACCAACCCTTGCCGTTGCCTTTATGTCTAAAGTGGAAGCACCAGTAATCGATCTCACGCCATTACTCTACTGTAGGTACATAGATGATTGTTTTGTCATCTGCTCCACACAAGAGGAGATGGACAAATGCTTTAAGTTATTGAATGAACAGTCAGAGTACATAAAATTCACCCGTGAAAAACCGAAAGAAAACTGGCTTCCATTTCTAAACCTTCAAATTAACCTATCCGAGAACGGCTACACCACAAAATGGTATCGAAAGCCGAGCAGTAAGAATATAGTGGTTCACTACCGCTCCTCTCACCCCTCACACACTAAAAGAGCGCTTATAAGAAAT